AACACATATACCCCCCTAATCACCCCCGTTGAAAGGACAGATAAAGATAAGAGAGAACACTTTGGCTCTCATAAATTTGTTCCTACACCTCAGAACTTCAAAACTAGAACTGTACAGGAAGGTTTAAAAGGTAGAAAGAAACAGGACACACAATGCATGCAGATCAAGCTATTGCTCTATGCAAGCTTGGTGGTGTTTACGTGATTGATGGCCATGTTTGCATTGGAAATAATGAGATGATTAAAGCTGAGATATGGTTGCAGGTGAGTGAAAACCTAACATGGCTTGAGGATCAAATTTTGAACAGAAAGGCAAGGCAAGGCAAAGCAATAGAGTACGATTTCAATATTGTGAAGGAAAAAACTGGTGTACAAGTTCCACGGCTTGTAAATGAACAATGCATCAGTTCAAACTACAAAAAACCTGTTCTTTCTACCCCAACAAACATTCAGAGGTGGACTGAAAGAAATAGTGACTGTGGTGTCAATGATGCTGATAACAGCAGCCATAACAAGTTAACTCAGTCATCTGGTGGTAGTTCCTCTTCCTCCTCAAAAGCAGATTATTCCCTTTGCAGCAAGCTACAACAGTCATCCGGTAGTTCCAAAGCTGGCTACTCTCTTTGCAGTGAGCTAAACTCCCCTCCCAACAAGCTACAACAGTCATCAGGTAGTTCTGGTAGTTCCAAAGCTGGCTACTCCCTTTGCAGCAAGCTGGAACAGAAGACACAGACACCAGATATTTCAAAGCAGAGTACTACCACTAGCTATTCAGCAGATTCCAAAAACAGTTATTCTCTTTCCAGCAAGCTACAGCAACCATCATCTGAAGAGAGTTCTAGAAACAACTATTCTTTTTCACTGAGCTTTGATGAAACTTGTGATGATTCTGAGATGAATATCAGTAGAAGTGAGATAATGCCAGCACCAAACTGTTCATTTGAAGAAGAAGATGATGATGAAAGTTCCTCTCATGTAACTCCAAAATGTTTGATGCAGGAGTTTTCCCGAGCAAAAGATACTTAGCTAAAAAGCTGGTAGCAAGATGATCAATACCGCAAATACTGTATATTGCATTAAAATTAATTACTACTTTATTCATATTATTTTGTACTGTAATGTACCATCATACTATATTATATTGTAATAAACATCTTCATTATTTATATTTATTATTTTTATTATATTGCACTGTTTCATAATTTTCAGAAGCTGTCAGCTGTCATATATTGTTTTAGCTAATTCCTGTTGAAGTTTATGCTTAAGAGCCTGTCCACACAGAAAGAAGAAAGAACCTTGAAAAAGGGACAGACTCTAAAGAAAAAGCCTAAGAAATAAATAAATAATAAATATCTCACAAACATTGAGACACAAATTCTTGATAGTGAGATAGATTAACAGAAGAGAAAGAAGCACAGTGAATATACCAGTACTTGCACGTAAAAGAACAGCAAAGCAAGAAATATTTTGTAAACACCATGTCTGAAGAACTGTCTCTTCAAGCACAATCTAATATTGAAGAAAATGACAAGAATTCGGAAACCCAAACTGTGTTGTCATCTCAGCCAGAATATCAGTTGAAAGATGAGGAAGGACATATGGCAGCAGCTACAATGAGAATTGGATCGATTATTAGTGGAGCTACTAATTGTTCTGAAGTTCTTAAAGAAGTGCAAAAGAATTTGAACTCTGGCTATTATCCAAGAGTTGTGGCAAGTTTTTGGCATCATGGGCGAAAGCTGACTGACGAAATTAATTTGAAAAGCAAGTTCTCACAGAAATGTACGAAATTCATCAAGTGGCAGCGCGAAAATCCAGCTGAATTTAAGAAATCTATTGCTGCTGATTTTCTTAAAGAATTGGACAAGAACTTCATCTTGCTTCAAATTACTTCAGAAGTCCTCAATCAAAATGCAGAAGCAGAAGCAAACAACACAGAAGAAATCAACAATAGTGTTACTTCTTTCAATAAAAAGTGGCACTTAGCATCACTCCCAATTCCTTTCAATGTTCTGATGCTCACTGGAGGTCAGATTGGATTCGACAAAAAGGGTTTGAAGCAAAAGTTATGGCTATTGGAATTCCATAACCAACTGGATAGCAACACAAGAAAGATTGAAGCTGCTCGTTTGCTTTCAGATGATCAAAACGGTCTCTTGGACATTCTTGCAAAGAATCCCATAGATGCTGATTTAAGAACAGCTGCTTTGGAAAAACTCAAGGCACAGTCATGTGATGTTAGCCTTTATAGCATTGATCTTCCGTCAAGAGAAGCTTTACCCACAGATGAATGCAAAGCTAATGTGAATCTTTCTTCTATGGTGGTACCTTTGTGTGGAGAAGAATTAGATTTTTCAGGAGTTGTTCACACTGATAACTCTCCAAAAATTACTACATTTCAAGATATGCGAAAGTGGCTGAATATTCTGACAAACAAAGATATTGAAAAAATTGAATGGTTCAAACAAATTACCAACAATTTAAAGGCATCTGGTGATGATCAAGAGGCAGCAAAAATGTTTTATTGTTATCAAGCTATATTGGCAGCTTACAAAAGTTTTACATTGGAAAGTTGGGAAGGTTGGATTAAGCTTTATGTTATACTCTCAGTGCAATCATTTCAAGCAAATCAAAATGATACAAACTCTGAAAGAAATTTGATTAACCGAATTGAAGACTCCAAACTTCGAGCCAAATTTATAATCCCTTCAAGCTTCCACGAAATGATTCGAAGAATTCTGTTTCTGCATCAATATTTAATAAATGTTCGAACATCAGCACAAAACGGACAGGGGCGGATTGTCAGTGCTCGCTTGGCCATGACTTGTACATTGCCTAGTGGACAACCTCATGAAGGACATTGCTTTGGAATTGAAGAGAAAAAATACTACAAAGACCTATTAAAAGATGCAGGTATCAATGTTAATTCAGGTGTGCCAAAATATTTGCTCCCCCATTTGAGCAAATCAGTGCCAACAGTTCTTTGCGGACCCAAATATACAGAAGGAAGTTCCATCTACATGACAGAATCACAAATTCAAAATATCCAGTGGAAAAGTGGCCAGGTTTTGGAAGCCATTGACAATGCAACCCACAGAAACTTGCGTCAATTACTCCCTGCTGTGATGCAGGTTGTAGTAAAGCAGTTGGATGAAATTAGCTACTTTTGCTATCAAAAAGATGATACACAACAGCAACAGATGATGTCGAAAAATGTTTCAATGCACTTCAAGCAAGTTCTACGTGTTTTTTTACGAGCACTTATGCAATATGCAACATGGAGCTCTGTGCAGGAGGATCTTGGTACAGCTCTTTGCGGGTATCTTGTGACTTGTCTAAAAACTAAACGAGTACAAAAAGGTTGGTCTCTCAATCCAAAAGATAAGGATGACGAAAAAATTCAAAAGCTTGAGAAGTTCAAGAAAGAATGTACAGGTTGCTCAACTCTTAGACCGTTTATGGTCACTGACAAATATGGAAAAGCGGCACTGCAATGGGAAAAACAAACAGAGCTTGAAAAATGGGCCAAAAATGCTGTGAACAGGAGATGGAGAAGCCCTTCTACTGAGGAAGCTGCTCTGGAAGAAGCTTTAAACCAGAAAGACAAAGACACATTGGATGATCTCTCCTCTGAAGATGATTTCCTTCGCATTATTCTTCATTGTAAGAATGATACAAATTGGAATCAGCTAATTGGCTGTCAAGTTAAAAGTTTTGGAGCTGGTAATCCAGTTACGCCCAGCATCATTGTACTTTTTATTTGGCTCGGTGGGTGGTGTGTGTATGATCCAATTTCGGCCAGACGCACTTATGCCTTGGTGAATAATAATGGGACTCCCATCACAAAAAAAAATGACTATTGTCAGTACAATCCGAACAAAGATAAGGTAAGAACAAAAGATGCTGGGGAATATTCAGCTGAATTATGATATTGTTTCCTAATATTGCCTTCTCTATTTAGAATTGGATAGCCAATGATGTTTCTAAAACGTTGAAATTTCTATGGAATTGTCTAATTAACCCAGCAATGGATACTGCCAGAAGATTACAGAGAATGAGTTGTTTAGTGAGCTCAAACAAACAAGAAAAAATGGATGGAACACTTGTGATTAAACACAAATGGATTGTTGCAGTTGTCAACCTCATAGTTGATGCAATTGTGAAGCATGGAGTTTTCTGGCCAATTAACAAAGCAATGAAAACTAACCATCTGAATGAAGGTTCTCCTTCTTTGTTCAATTTTTTAACAGATGGATTCACAAAAGTTAAAGTTGGCAAGAATAAACCATACGACAACCAGGATCTTGCAATTAAGACAAATATCCCTGCCATATTTGATATCCTTTGCTTGCTAATCCACAAAAATATTTTGGAAATATGTTTTCCCAATCAACAACTCAAAACATACTATGAAAAAACCCGTAAAGCTTCTTCAATGACAGAAGATTTCACAGAAGCAATTAATTTAATTTCTTGGGAATTGTTATTACCTCAAATTAAATTGAAACCCTTAACTCAACAAGCTGAAGAGAATGACAAGAATACAAAAGATGATCAGATTGGGCAAAACATTTCTGGTGACAATGGAAACAATAGTCAACTGAATCAAACTCAACAAACAGAAAATGGTGACAATAGAGAAGAGCACACAGACATTGAGAAGAATGCACCCATGCCAATTATGGATTTTCTCAATCTGTTATTAGGCTCAGAAACCTGTCAAATTAGTGAAACTCAAAGGGCCCTTTGGACAAGAATTCAGAAGGAGCTGAATGAAATTCTTGACAATCCAGCAACGTTTCTGGAACACCTCCCAGAAATTATTGCTAAGAGAGAAAAACCCGTTGATCCAATAACAAATGAAGTTGCAATCCCCAATATATATTTAAAGGCAGCAGAGGCTCGGAAGCTTTTTGGCATGGCTAAAGCAAGTGATGCTCCCCAAGAACTGGAAATTACGAAAGACGCTATCAAGCAAACTGCATTAGACTACATTGGAAAAGGTTTGAAACTCACCACTGTCTACAATTTCATGGACTATTCCACAAGCAATAGACGAAGATCTGAGTCTACCTTAAAGCAGGAGGACATTTTAAGCTTATTGGTGACACCTCCAAAACACCAAAAAGAAGGTCAAGCAAAAGCAAAAGCACTTCAAAATCTTGATGAGCATCAGCACCAAAACTTAGGCATAGCTGTATATAACTTTGCAAACGAGCTGGCAAGCTTTCGATTGACAAAAAGACAGGATGATGAAGGGGAAACTAAGATGACTTACGAAACGTGGCTTAAGCAAATGTCTCGTGAAGAGTTATATCAGAGTTTAGGCTGCAGAATATTACCGGATGAGGCTGTTGATGAAAATGTGATTCCAGAAGAAAATAACAATGAAGATGAGGAGAGTGATGAAAATGTGATTTCAGAAGAAAATAACAATGAAGATGAGGAGAGTGATGAGGAGCAAGACAAAGAAGATAATTATGAAGAAGAAGAGAAAGAGGAGTACACAGAGATTGCAGAAGGTGCCGTTCATTCATGTCCCTTGAATATTCTCTGGGGATTTCAATTGAACCAGAAATACGGAAACAGCTCCAGAAATAAAGCCCACAAAAAATTGATTGACCGAAATATATTCCAACAATTTGTAAATTTGCAGCGAGATTACAGCATTTTAGAAGGGAGATTACACAAGCGAAATCAGCATATTGATGTGGTGGAAAAACAAGATCAAGATAAAGCAGCTGAAATCGAAATTTTGGAAGAAAAACTTAGAGCCGAAAAGAAACAAAATTCAGTGCTCCAACAAGAACTGAAGAGAAAAACAGAGTTACTTGAGAAATTACAAGCAAGCAGGAATAAAAATAAAAGAAGGCGAACTGAGGAACAACCAGAAGAAACAGCATGTGCTGAGAAGAAAACTGATAGTTCAAAAGAGAATGCCTCAATGCAGCGTCAAGAAATTTTTCAATCCAGGAAAGAAGCTAATATTACGATACAGAAAGATATTACTTCTCAGTCAGCCAAACTAAAGGATGTCAAACAAAAAGAGGCACATACTACTGCTACTAAGAGAAAAACATTGGAAAAGAATCAACAAAAAGAGGGTCAACAGAAAATATTCAAAACAAAGTTGGTTCAGAATAAGAATGCACAACCAGACGATTTAAACGGTGAATCAAAACAGGAGCTTGCTGGAAATACTGAATTACCGAAAATCGTGGTTCAAAATCATGCACCAGAAAATTTCCCAATATCCATGTCACCTATGGAAGATAGGTCTCCTCAAAAAATACTCAATGCTGGTAAAAAAAATTCTGAAAAGCATATTCCAGCCACTTCAAAAGATCTATCGGAATCTTTTGAGAAGGAGGCTTATAAGCAAAGCAACACCAAAGCAACAAGCGAAATTATTTTGCCAAATGAATCATTAAAATGGTGGTCCTTTTTCCTATTCCATATTAAAACGAAAAAAAAACCTACAAAAAAGATGATTGAGGTTGTTGAAGAAGCTAAAAAAAGATCACGACAGCAATCGAATATTCCAATGAGTGTTTCTAATACAGAAGACTATCTTCGAACCATTTGTGGAACGGCCGATCACGGAGCTGATGATCTTATAACTCAGAACGTACTATTCAAGAACTATTATCGAACATCATTCCTATATGCAGGAAACCAGCTGACACAGGAAAAAGAGCAGGAAGCCAAAGCCAACGCACCAGTTTTAGCTGACTGTCACCTGCAAAATTGTCCCTTAAAAGGAGAAGTCAAGGAGAAAAATCATAAATGCACAAAATGCAAAAAACTCATGCACCAGTTCTGCGGTTTTTGCTCTAAAATTGGAACTGATGAGATTTACTGTCCGAAATGTTTCATGAAAACATTCCCGAAAGCTACCAACTTCCATTGTGATTGTCTAAGAGCAATCAACGGAAATTTAATTGATATTTCCTTGATGCAATCACTAATCAAAACAAATTCAGAGGAAAATAATTCCACAAGCGAAGCTGCTATAGAGTTCCCTAATGCTGCTGAAAAGGGCATTTCTTCATCATCACCACACAACACTGCACAATCGACATCAAAATCAAAACCAGCACAAAATACGTCATTATTGTCATTTACAAGTCAATCTGAATCTGTTATTACAGAAATATTTATCAAGGAGTTGCAGTCGCAAATTATCAGTGCCTCAAATTTGGCTAGCACAAACCAGGAAGCAACCCCTTTTTTGAAGAAAATGATTAAGCACTGGAAAACAAACAAAATTTTTGCCCCGAGGAGAATAGAGAACAATCAGTGGCAATGGAGTTTTAATCTCAATGAGATTTCGCTACCTGAACAAGTGTGTCCAAATACACAGAGCAAATGGAATGTTTTGTTAAAATTTTTCGCAAGAGCAGGAAATGGGGTGACGGAAGTGTTAGGAAAGAGGATATTGTGTTTGTGGGGGAGAAGATGAATGCACTTCAAGAGAGTCATAGTCACAGTCATAACAATATGGACACGAGAGCAGAGGAAACAAATGCGACACCTGCTACCAAAGAAAACTTGAACACTGATCATCTATCAAAAAATAGTGGGGTTGGTCACATAAATTATCAAGGAACAACAAGCACAAGAGAAGAAAACGGTGAATCAAGCTTGATTACAACAAATTCAAATCCAAAAACCAACACCAGTAGTACCAGTACTACTAACGAAAGAATGTCACCGCCCGCTGATAGAAAAACTCCCAACAGTAAAGCTAAACCCAAAGTCAAAGCTACAAAAGAAAGCAACGAAGCATCAAATGCCGAGAGCACACCACCAGCAAAAAGTCCACCTCGCCACAACAACACTATGCGAAAGCCGAAAAAGCCTGGAGAAAGGATAGAGCAATTACAAAACATATGCAGGGGCACGGAAGAGTTAACTCCAGAGAAAATTCGAAAGTTTACGGAGGAATCTTCGCTAGAAAGCTCTCAGGGGCAATCCGAAGCTTCTACTGAGACAGATACTCCAACTTCGGCCAAGAAAAAAAGGAAAAAAGAGAAAAAAAAGAAAGGAAAAGAAAAAAAAGAAGAAAACGACAAAGGAAAAATGACAAAACTGAAAAGAGGAATTGAAATTCGAAAATTTCTCTTTGCAATTTCAGTCCAAATCATTTTTCCTTTGTCGTTTTTTCTTTTCTCTTTTTTCTCCTTTCTTTCTTTTTTCCTTTCTTTCCTTTTTTTCTTGGCCGAAGTTGTAGTATCTGTGAGTATCTGTCTCAGTAGAAGCTTCGGATTGCCCCTGAGAGCTTTCTAGCGAAGATTCCTCCGTAAACTTTCGAATTTTCTCTGGAGTTAACTCTTCGGTGCCCCTGCATATGTTTTGTAATTGCTCTATCCTTTCTCCAGGCTTTTTCGGCTTTCGCATAGTGTTGTTGTGGCGAGGTGGACTTTTTGCTGGTGGTGTGCTCTCGGCATTTGATGCTTCGTTTTCTTTTGTAGCTTTGACTTTGGGTTTAGCTTTACTGTTGGGAGTTTTTCTATGAGCCGGCGGTGACATTCTTTCGTTAGTAGTGTTACTGGTGTTGATTTTTAGATTTGAATTTGTTGTAATCAAGCTTGATTCACCGTTTTCTTCTCTTGTGCTTGTTGTTCTTTGATAATTTATGCGACGAACCCCACTATTTTTTGATAGATGATCATGTTCAAGTTTTCTTTGGTAGCAGGTGTCACATTTGTTTCCTCTGCTCTCGTGTCCATATTGTTATGACTGTGACTATGACTCTCTTGAAGTGCATTCATCTGCTCCCCCACAAACACAATATCCTCTTTCCTAACACTTCCGTCACCCCATTTCCTGCTCTTACGAAAAATTTTAACAAAACATTCCATTTGCTGTGTGTATTTGGAGACACTTGTTCAGGTAGCGAAATCTCATTGAGATTAAAACTCTATTGCCACTGATTGTTCTCTATTCTCTCGGGGCAAAAATTTTGTTTGTTTCCCAGTGCTTAATCATTTTCTTCAAAAAAGGGGTTGCTTCCTGGTTTGTGCTAGCCAAATTTGAGGCACTGATAATTTGCGACTGCAACTCCTTGATAAATATTTCTTAAAACAGATTCAGATTACTTGTAAATGACAATAATGACGTATTTTGTGCTGGTTAGGTTGATTTTGATGTCATTGTGCAGTGTTGTGTGGTGATGATAAGAAATGCCCTTTTCGCAGCATTAGGGAACTCTATAGCAGCTTCGCTTGTGGAATTATTTTCCTCTGAATTTGTTTTGATTAGTGATTGCATCAAGGAAATATCAATTAAATTTCCGTTGATTGCTCTTAGACAATCACAATGGAATTGGTAGCTTTCGGGAATGTTTTCATGAAACATTTCGGACAGTAAATCTCATCAGTTCCAATTTTAGAGCAAAAACCGCAGAACTGGTGATGAGTTTTTTGCATTTTGTGCATTTATGATCTTTCTCCTTGACTTCTCCTTTTAAGGGACAATTTTGCAGGTGACAGTCAGCTAAAACTGGTGCGTTGGCTTTGGCTTCCTGCTCTTTTTCCTGTGTCAGCTGGTTTCCTGCATATAGGAATGATGTTCGATAATAGTTCTTGAATAGTACGTTCTGAGTTATAAGATCATCAGCTCCGTGATCGGCCGTTCCACAAATGGTTCGAAGATAGTCTTCTGTATTAGAAACACTCATTGGAATATTCGATTGCTGTCGTGATCTTTTTTTAGCTTCTTCAACAACCTCATAGGTTTTTTTTTCGTTTAAAATGTGAATAGGAAAAAGGACCACCATTTTAATGATTCATTTGGCAAAATAATTTCGCTTGTTGCTTTTGGTGTTGCTTTGCTTATAAGCCTCCTTCTCAAAAGATTCCGATAGATCTTTTGAAGTGGCTGGAATATGCTTTTCAGAATTTTTTTTACCAGCATTGAGTATTTTTTGAGGAGACCTATCTTCCATAGGTGACATGGATATTGGGAAATTTTCTGGTGCATGATTTTGAACCACGATTTTCGGTAATTCAGTATTTCCAGCAAGCTCCTGTTTTGATTCACCGTTTAAATCGTCTGGTTGTGCATTCTTATTCTGAACCAACTTTGTTTTGAATATTTTCTGTTGACCCTCTTTTTGTTGATTCTTTTCCTGTTTTCCTTAGTAGCAGTAGTATGTGCCTCTTTTTGTTTGACATCCTTTAGTTTGGCTGACTGAGAAGTAATATCTTTCTGTATCGTAATATTAGCTTCTTTCCTGGATTGAAAAATTTCTTGACGCTGCATTGAGGCATTCTCTTTTGAACTATCAGTTTTCTTCTCAGCACATGCTGTTTCTTCTGGTTGTTCCTCAGTTCGCCTTCTTTTATTTTTATTCCTGCTTGCTTGTAATTTCTCAAGTAACTCTGTTTTTCTCTTCAGTTCTTGTTGGAGCACTGAATTTTGTTTCTTTTCGGCTCTAAGTTTTTCTTCCAAAATTTCGATTTCAGCTGCTTTATCTTGATCTTGTTTTTCCACCACATCAATATGCTGATTTCGCTTGTGTAATCTCCCTTCTAAAATGCTGTAATCTCGCTGCAAATTTACAAATTGTTGGAATATATTTCGGTCAATCAATTTTTTGTGGGCTTTATTTCTGGAGCTGTTTCCGTATTTCTGGTTCAATTGAAATCCCCAGAGAATATTCAAGGGACATGAATGAACGGCACCTTCTGCAATCTCTGTGTTACTCCTCTTTCTCTTCTTCTTCATATTATCTTCTTTGTCTTGCTCCTCATCACTCTCCTCATCTTCATTGTTATTTTCTTCTGAAATCACATTTTCATCACTCTCCTCATCTTCATTGTTATTTTCTTCTGAATCACATTTTCATCAACAGCCTCATCCGGTAATATTCTGCAGCCTAAACTCTGATATAACTTTTCACGAGACATTTGCTTAAGCCACGTTTCGTAAGTCATCTCAGTTTCCCCTTCATCATCCTGTCTTTTTGTCAATCGAAAGCTTGCCAGCTCGTTTGCAAAGTTATATACAGCTATGCCTAAGTTTTGGTGCTGATGCTCATCAAAATTTTGAAGTGCTTTTGCTTTGCTTGACCTTCTTTTTGGTGTTTTGGAGGTGTCACCAATAAGCTTAAAATGTCCTCCTGCTTTAAGGTAGACTCAGATCTTCGTCTATTGCTTGTGGAATAGTCCATGAAATTGTAGACAGTGGTGAGTTTCAAACCTTTTCCAATGTAGTCTAATGCAGTTTGCTTGATAGCGTCTTTCGTAATTTCCAGTTCTTGGGGAGCATCACTTGCTTTAGCCATGCCAAAAAGCTTCCGAGCCTCTGCTGCCTTTAAATATATATTGGGGATTGCAACTTCATTTGTTATTGGATCAACGGGTTTTTCTCTCTTAGCAATAATTTCTGGGAGGTGTTCCAGAAACGTTGCTGGATTGTCAAGAATTTCATTCAGCTCCTTCTGAATTCTTGTCCAAAGGGCCCTTTGAGTTTCACTAATTTGACAGGTTTCTGAGCCTAATAACAGATTGAGAAAATCCATAATTGGCATGGGTGCATTCTTCTCAATGTCTGTGTGCTCTTCTCTATTGTCACCATTTTCTGTTTGTTGAGTTTGATTCAGTTGACCATTGTTTCCATTGTCACCAGAAATGTTTTGCTCAATCTGATCATCTTTTGTATTCTTGTCATTCTCTTCAGCTTGTTGAGTTAAGAGTTTCAATTTAATTTGAGGCAATAACAATTCCCAAGAAATTAAATTAATTGCTTCTGTGAAATTTTCTATCATTGAAGAAGCTTTACGAGTTTTTTCATAGTATGTTTTGAGTTGTTGATTGGGAAAACATATTTCCAAAATATTTTTGTGGATTAGCAAGCAAAGGATATCAAATATGACAGGGATATTTGTCTTAATTGCAAGATCCTGGTTGTCGTATGGTTTATTCTTGCCAACTTTAACTTTTGTGAATCCATCTGTTAAAAAATTGAACAAAGAAGGAGAACCTTCATTCAGGATGGGTTTTCATTGCTTTGTTAATTGGCCAGAAAACTCCATGCTTCACAATTGCATCAACTATGAGGTTGACAACTGCAACAATTCATTTGTGTTTAATCACAAGAGTTCCATCCATTTTTTCTTGTTTGTTTGAGCTGACTAAACAACTCATACTCTGTAATCTTCTGGCAGTATCCATTGCTGGGTTAATTAGACAATTCCATAGAAATTTCAACGTTTTAGAAACATCATTGGCTATCCAATTCTAAATAGAGAAGGCAATATTAAGAAATAATATTATAATTCAGCTGAATATTCCCCAACATCTTTTGTTCTTACCTTATCTTTGTTCGGATTGTACTGACAATAGTCATTTTTTTTTGTGATGGGAGTCCTATTATTATTCACCAAGGCATAAGTGCGTCTGGCCGAAATTGGATCATACACACACCACCCACCGAGCCAAATAAAAAGTACAATGATGCTGGGCGTAACTGGATTACCAGCTCCAAAACTTTTAACTTGACAGCCAATTAGCTGATTCCAATTTGTATCATTCTTACAATGAAGAATCGACATCTCAATATCCTCCCTGGTTAAATCCCATCCTCAGTAGAAGGGCTTCTCCATCTCCTGTTCACAGCATTTTTGGCCCATTTTTCAAGCTCTGTTTGTTTTTCCCATTGCAGTGCCGCTTTTCCATATTTGTCAGTGACCATAAACGGTCTAAGAGTTGAGCAACCTGTACATTCTTTCTTGAACTTCTCAAGCTTTTGAATTTTTTCGTCATCCTTATCTTTTGGATTGAGAGACCAACCTTTTTGTACTCGTTTAGTTTTTAGACAAGTCACAAGATACCCGCAAAGAGCTGTACCAAGATCCTCCTGCACAGAGCTCCATGTTGCATATTGCATAAGTGCTCGTAAAAAAAACTAGAACTTCTTGAAGTGCATTAAACATTTTTCGACATCATTTCTGGTTGTGTACACTTTTGATAGCAAAAGTAGCTAATTTCATCCAACTGCTCTTACTACAACCTGCACACAGCAGGATAATTGACCAAGTTTCTGGTGATTGTCAATGGCTTAAAGCCTGGCCATTTCCATGAGATTTTAATTTGATTCTGTCGTAGATGACTTCCTTCGATAGGTGGCAAAGAACTGTTGGCACTGATTTGCTCAAATGGGGACAAATATTTTGCCACTGATTAACATATACCTGCACTTTAATAGGTCTTTGTAGTATTTTTTCTCTTCAATTCCAAAGCAATGTCCTTCATGAGGTTGTCCACTAGGCAATGTACAAGTCATGGCCAAGCGAGCACTGACAATCCGCCCCTGTCCGTTTTGTGCTGATGTTCGAACATTTATTAAATATTGATGCAGAAACAGAATTCTTCGAATCATTTCGTGGAAGCTTGAAGGGATTATAAATTTGGCTCGAAGTTTGAGTCTTAATTCGGTTAATCAAATTTCTTTCAGAGTTTGTATCATTTTGATTTGCTTGAAATGATTGCACTGAGAGTATAACATAAAGCTTAATCCAACCTTCCACTTCAATGAACTGTAAGCTGCCAATATGCTTTGATAACATATAAACAGAATTTCTGCTCTTGATTTTCATCCCAGACTGACTCTTTAACATTTTGTAACTTTGGCATTTGACACTAAGTTTTCAATATTTTGTTGCTCAGAAATATTCACCACATTCGCAATCTGAATTGTATTTTTGGAGAGTTATCAGTGTGAACAACTCCTGAAAAATCTAATTCTTCTCCACACAAAGGTACCACCAGTAGAAGAAAGATTCACATTGCTTTTGCATTCACCTGTGGGAAAGCTTCCTCTTGACGGGAAGATCAATGCTAAAGGCTAACATCAAATACTGTGCTTGAGTTTATTCCAAACAGCTGTTCTTAATCAGAGATGCTTATGGGATTCTTGCAAGAAGTCCAAGAGACCGTTTTGATCATCTGAAAGCAAAGACGCTAATTCTGTTGACGTTATGATGTTGTCTTAATCCGAAGTCATTCTTTTCGGTTGGATACGCCTTAGCTGACTTTCACTCAGGTAAATGGATTATGAGGAATTCCGGATGGATAGCACTATATACTTTTGGCTTAACTGATTTTTCGAATTTCCTCGACCTCCGTGAGCATTCAAACATTCGAATATGAATTGGGATGTGCAACGATAGCCATTTATTAGTCAATTCAGAAATCGGAAGCTTCTAAGTTCGAGTCCTGATGTTATTTGCGTTCTGCCTTTGATTTATGTTTGAAGCTTAGACGCAAACATGATGATACTATCTGATAAGCTGATGGCAAGCAAGATGAGTTCTTGCCAATTCTTGAAGAAAAATCAGCAGCAATAGATTTCTTAAATTCAGCTTGGATTTTCGCGTGCCACTTGATGAATTTCGTACATTTCTGGAGATACTTGCTTTCAAATTAATTTCTCAGTCAGCTTCTCCCATGATGCCAAACTTTACCACAACTCTTGGAAATAGCGATTCAAATTTTTTTGCACTTCTTTAAGAACTTCAGAACAATTAGTAGCTCCACTAATTAATTTCAATCCAATTCTATTGTACTCGCTCGCCAATGTCCTTCCTCATCTTTCAACTGATATTCTGGCTGAGATGACAACACAGTTTGGGTTTCCGAATTCTTGTCATTTTCTTCAATATTAGATTGTGCTTGAAGAGACAGTTCTTCAGACATGGTGTTTACAAAATATTTCTTGCTTTGCTGTTCTTTTACGTGCAAGTACTGGTATATTCACTGTGCTTCTTTCTCTTCTGTTAATCTATCTCACTATCAAGAATTTGTGTCTCAATGTTTGTGAATTATTTATGTATTTATTTATTTATTTAGGCTTTTTCTTTAGGAGTCTGTCCCTTTTTCAAGGTTCTTTCTTCTTTCTGTGTGGACAGGCTCTTAAGCATAAACTTCAACAGGAATTAGCTAAAACAATATATGACAGCTGACAGCTTCTGAAAATTATGAAACAGTGCAATATAATAAAAATAATAAATATAAATAATGAAGATGTTTATTACAATATAATATAGTATGATGGTACATTACAGTACAAAATAATATGAATAAAGTAGTAATTAATTTTAATGCAATATACAGTATTTGCGGTATTGATCATCTTGCTACCAGCTTTTTAGCTAAGTATCTTTTGCTCGGGAAAACTCCTGCATCAAACATTTTGGAGTTACATATGGAGAGGAACTCATCTCATCTTCTTCTTCAAATGAACAGTTTGGTGCTGGCATTATCTCACTTCTACTGATATTCATCTCAGAATCATCACAAGTTTCATCAAAGCTCAGTGAAAAAGAATAGTTGTTTCTAGAACTCTCTTCAGATGATGGTTGCTGTAGCTTGCTGGAAAGAGAATAACTGTTTTTGGAATCTGCTGAATAGCTAGTGGTAGTACTCTGCTTTGAAATATCTGGTGTCTGTGTCTTCTGTTCCAGCTTGCTGCAAAGGGAGTAGCCAGCTTTGGAACTACCAGAACTACCTGATGACTGTTGTAGCTTGTTGGGAGGGGAGTTTAGCTCACTGCAAAGAGAGTAGCCAGCTTTGGAACTACCGGATGACTGTTGTAGCTTGCTGCAAAGGGAATAATCTGCTTTTGAGGAGGAAGAGGAACTACCACCAGATGACTGAGTTAACTTGTTATGGCTGCTGTTATCAGCATCATTGACACCACAGTCACTATTTCTTTCAGTCCACCTCTGAATGTTTGTTGGGGTAGAAAGAACAGGTTTTTTGTAGTTTGAACTGATGCATTGTTCATTTACAAGCCGTGGAACTTGTACACCAGTTTTTTCCTTCACAATATTGAAATCGTACTCTATTGCTTTGCCTTGCCTTGCCTTTCTGTTCAAAATTTGATCCTCAAGCCATGTTAGGTTTTCACTCACCTGCAACCATATCTCAGCTTTAATCATCTCATTATTTCCAATGCAAACATGGCCATCAATCACGTAAACACCACCAAGCTTGCATAGAGCAATAGCTTGATCTGCATGCATTGTGTGTCCTGTTTCTTTCTACCTTTTAAACCTTCCTGTACAGTTCTAGTTTTGAAGTTCTGAGGTGTAGGAACAAATTTATGAGAGCCAAAGTGTTCTCTCTTATCTTTATCTGTCCTTTCAACGGGGGTGATTAGGGGGTATATGTGTTGATTTGGGGGGGGGGGGTGTACAGGTCGACACTTTTGGGGGGACTCTCCACTGGGGTAGCCACCTGGAGGGCTACTGCTACTATTTGTGTGCCCACTCAGGACAGGTTATTCGTCCCAAAAAAAAATTGTCAAGACGACAATGGTTAGGTCAAACTTGGAGTAGAGGTGACACGAGTTGATATCTACGAACCCTCCAAGGCCACGTTCTTTATTACTGTTCTATCTATAAATTAATATATTATGCTCATTCTCTCTCAGCCAACATCCAATCCATCTATAGTATAGTTCTGGTGCAGAGCTTGCAGTTCATCCAGATAGAGATCTTCATCACAATCATCATTCTCTTCTTCTTTATCACCAGCATTGCATTCTTCTTCCTGTATTAGCGCTCGAAGTTCCTCTCTTGTCACAAAGTAACTTTCATCAGGTGTGAAATGGGGAGCAACATCCAGAGAAGCAAGGTCAAGCCTCTCGCAGGCATCCCTAACATTCTGGAAGGTTGGACGAAGCTCCTTATCCCATTCTTTAGGGTTTTGCCTCGGCCAGCAATAGCAAGCATGGCATCTCACTGTTCTTGAGAGCGTTCTTGAT